AATTTTCAATTAAAACAATTCCTGCAGTGCTTTTCACTGTAGCAAGTTGGCATGTTAATTACAAAAAATAAAAGCTCGTACATAAATTGTACAGCTTTTGTTGCAGCAAGTCAATATAAAAGTGCCACATTACTCAGGCTGGTATCTAGCAAAGTATATAAATCTGTTCAAGAATTAAGTAAGGAGAGGAGGGAAGAGTCAGGAGCATGTTTGAGCTACCCCCTGAGGAGAGCGCAGTTATACACTGCCTGTTTTAGAAGTCACTATGTGTATTCTTCTTTCCTGAATAAGCATAATTTGCCCTTTTCAGTGAAGAACATTTATGTTTCAACAATTTCTGCTCTTTTTAGACTTGTATGCCCTGGAAGCTATTAGGCTCACCAGTTATGTTAATCTTCATGACAGAGTATTTTATTGGTATATATTTCATGAAAACACCAACAACTTATCTAAAATAAGAACTTGAAAAAAGACTGAAAACATTGGGGACCCTATTATGTTTATTTTAAATGTTTTTAAAAATAAAACAATTGTTAGCAGTCCACACGGATTGTAACAACTCCTGAAAGGAAGGCTATATATTGTTTTTTTTGACTGGTGGTGTTAGGCGATATACTGAATTTTTCCCCATGGTTTCTTGTAGATCAGGGGCCAATAACTTTTATCTTCTTTCTGAGAAATGTCACGTGTGATGGCAACAGTTCTGAGAGGTTCGCGGTAATTTCACATTCCTTCTACAGCTGAACTGGATGTGCAACAGGAGCAAATTAAAGTCTTGCAAAGACATGTACTATGGTCCAACTCAGAAAATCATTGTAGTATTTACCTAAATCCTATTAAATGTAAGGGGTCTTTTGGTTGTTTTGCTGAATCAGTTTAAAGGGGGGCTTTGAATCTTTATTCATTTTGATTTTCTTTTTGTAGGAGGCACAACAAACAGAAAGAAAGCATGAGCCATAACAACTAAATCTTTCTTCCACTTTCCTCATGTTAATATTCAGAGATACTTCTTTTGGAATTGAAAGAATCATATCAACATCATTCCCTAGTGAGTCTGCCCATTGGTAACATCTATAATGGTTGTCTATAGTTCACCAGTTCACTTATTATTGGTTACAAAACACAAATCAGAAACTAGCAACCTTTGATTACTAACAACATTATTAGAGGTGATCTATTGATAAGAAAGAAGAATATGGTCTGTATTTTTTTTCTGAAACTGCAATGTTTGTAGCCATACAGACTACTGGAATGGGAAGTAAATCATAGAATAATAGAAAATTAGGGTTGGAAGGGACCTCAGGAGATCATCTAATCCAACCCCCTGCTCAAAGCAGGACCATCCCCAACTAGATCATCTCAGCCAAAGCTTTGCCTAGCCAGGTTTTGAAAACCTCCAAAGATGGAGACTCCACTACCTCTCTGGAGAACCTGTTCCAGTGTTTTACCACCCTCTTAGTGAGAAAATTCTTCCTCATACGCAACCTAAACCTTCTTTGCTGCAACTTGAGACCATTGCTCCTTGTTCTGTCATCTGCCATCACTGAGAACAATCTAGCTCTTTTGAACTTCTCTCCAGCTAGTTTAGGCTGCTATTAAATCCCCTCTCAGTCTTCTCTTCTCTAGACTAAATAAGTCCAGTTCCCTCAGCCAGTTCTCATAAGTCATGTCCCCCAGCCACATCATCATTTTTCCTACCCTCTGCTGAACTCTCTCCAATTTGTTCACATCCTTTCAGCAGTGGGGGGCCCAAAACTGAACAGTACTCCAGATGTGGCCTCACCAATGATAAATAGAGGGGAATAATCACTTCCCTTGGCCTACTGGCAACACTCCTACAAATGCAGCCCAGGATACTGTTAGCCTTCTTGGCAACAAGGGCACACTGCTGGCTCATATTCAACTTATTGTCCACTGTCATCCCCAGGCCCTTTTCTGCAGAGCTGCTGCCTACCCAGTCAGCCCCCAGTCTGTACTGGTGCATGGGATTGTTTCGTCCTAAGTGCAGGACTTTGTACTTGCCCTTGTTGAACCTCATGAGATTACTTTTGGTCCAATTCTCCAATTTGTCTAGGTCACTTTGAATCCTAGCCCTACCTTCCAGCATATCTACTACTCCCCCAGCTTGGTGTCATCTGCAAACTTGCTGAGGGTGCACTTTAAGCCATCTTCCAGGTAACTGATGAAAACATTGAACAAAACTGGCCCCAGGGCAGATGCCTGGGGCACTCCACTTGATAACGGCTGCCAACTAGACATCGAGCCATTGATTACTATCCTCTGAGCCTGATGCTCCAGCCAGTTTTCTATCCACCTTACAGTCCATTCATCCAGCCTGTACTTCCTTAGCTTGCCCGAGAGAATGTTGTGGGAGACCATGCCAAAAGCCTTGCTAAAATCAAGGTACACCACATCCACTGGTCTCCCTGCACCTAGAGTCAGTCACCTCGTCATAGAAGGCAATCAGTTTGTTCAGGCATGACTTGCCCCTGGTGAATCCATACTGACAGTTCCTAACCACATTTTTCTTCTCCAAGTGCATAGAAATAGATTCCTTCAGGATCTTCTCCATGATTTTTCCAGGGACTGAGGTGATGCTGATTGGTCTCCAGTTCCCTGGATCTTTCTTTTTCCCTTTCTTAAATATGGGCACTATATTTGCCCTTTTCCAATCATCCAGGACCTCTCCTGATACCCATGAGTTTTCAAAGATGATGGCCATTGACTCTTCAATCACATCAGCCAACTCCTTCAGCACCTTCAGGTGCAACCCCATCTGGCCCCATGGACTTGTCCAGCTTTTCTAAATAGTCCCTAACCTGTTCTTTTGCCATGGTTGGCTGCTTACCTCCTCCCAAAACTGTGCTGCCCAGTGTCATAGTTCTACTCTAGTGATTATCCTACTCTCATAATGGTTGTCTACTCTCATATCTAGCAATTGTCCTACATATGAACAATTTTAGCAGCACCAAAGTCTGGTTTCCTACTACAGCCAACACAGGGCCTGTAATGAGTTTGCTCCTGACTTCTTTTAAATCTCTTGACTTGTTTACTGGAAACTCTGGCTCTGATTCCCAGCACACCCTGACCTCAGCTTTGACTCTTGGTGCACCCTGACTTTGGCTTAGGCACCTGGCTTACCTGGGACTGTGGTTTTTACCCCTGGCTTACCATGACCTCAGCATTGACCCCTGATCCCTGTGAACCCAGTTCACTTTTCACCCATTTACTAAGTGACCTTCCCTGACTGCCCACACCCTGGTCCCCAAGGCTAAGTACAGACAGTGAAAAAGCCAGAGGCTGAATTGATTCTGTTAGTCTAAACTACGCAGATTGAACTGATAAGTAAATGAACAGACCTTCATTTTTGATTCAGGAAATGCAGCCATATGCCTGCAGTGGCTCAAGTTAGAAGCTGTGGGGGGAGGGGGACGCTAGAGCATGCCTGTGAGCTATTGCCAAAGGGAAGGGAAGAAAGAAGCCCTTCAAGGATTTGCTCCCTCCCCCTGCTCCACAGGAGGTGGCATGGCCAGGGAGGGTGGGGACCCTAGCCTGGGTCTGCTGATGGGAACAGTGCCTGCCAGGCTTTTCCCCTCCTCCCACTCCCTGCTTGAGGGGGGTCAACTGCTGTCAGACTTGGCGGGGGTGTGTGGGGGGGAAGGTAGTGGCATTGAATTAGTTAAAGATTGATCAGGAATAGTTCTTTCTCTGAAGCAAGCATGTATTGAACACAGCACTTTGCAACCTCAAGCAAAAGATACAGCCCAGTCGAACACAGTGAGAGTGCACACAGCTTAGTCTAATTTAAAATGGAATGTAATACGCCAAAAAGACAAGACCAAGTCCTGCCTAAGTCTTATGTAATCCTGAGGGCAGAGTGTCTCCTTACAGCCAGGTATTCGGAAAGTCCTTGCTTACGTATTCCAGTTTCCCACCTTTATACAGGGTCTTCTTTATAATGTAAATGTAGTTCTATGCTTTCTTTGGTCACACTAGCTCAAGTTGTCTGTGATCCTCAGCACATACATGATGGTTGTGCCAGGTCTTTGCCAGCCCAGGGCAGCACACTGAGCTGCAGTGGGGGGTAATTAAAAATCATCCCAGACTGCAGCTGGGGTTTGCCTGCAGCGGGCAGTCCCTCTTAGCCTGTTGCCCACCTGCACTCTGCTGAAGCAGAGAGCAGGGGGTGTGGGCAGCACACTGAGCTGGGGACAGGGGGATTAAAGCCCCTCCAAGACCCCAGACCCCAGCAGGGGTTTGCCTAGGGAGGGCAGTCCCTCTTAGGCTGTTGCCCCACCCCGCCCCCACCCCTTCTCCTCTAGGGGGGAATGATCTGGCAGGGGCTGCCCCCCCCTCAGATTTCCCACCATCCCCGCTTGTCAGGCAGTCCTCACTGCTCCAACTGGAGAACAGAGCGGTGGGGCCAACCCTGCTCTCTGGAGCAAACAGCACGGCCCAACCCAGGGCTGCAAAGCATGCTGGGATGCTGGGAGACTCTGATTTAACTTAAGGGGTCTGGGGCAGAAGTTCCATAAACTGCTTTGACCTCAGTCAGGTTAAGTCTGTTACTACATTCAACCCAGTTTATTTTAAACCAGTTTTGGCCCTTGTGAAACCGGTTTATATGTACTGAACTTTTCTGTTACAGGTTCTGTTACAGGTTTAAACCAGTTTCTGATCACTTAAGCAGGTTTATATGTAACTTCTGTTCTTAGCCTAGCAGGGCCCAGCTGCCTTCTTCACACAGTTGATGTTTTCCACTTGCAGCTGCTGCAGTAAAAGTTCCATGTTCTCTAGCTATGCTCAAATTCACTTCTTCAACATCAGCCAGCAATCGGGATGATGTTGCAAATGCAAGCCACGATCTCTCTGCTGACGCAGACGCAAGACCTTGGGGTTGTTTTTTATGTGACATTCCAGTCTGTAGTACCAAACAATTTTCCTCACGCAGATACATGCTCCTTTTAATAGAAAGAGAGAAAAGAATGTGTAAAACTCACTCAATAAAGTAGACTTCCCCTTTTTCTGTGTAAGCCATTTCCCAGTTATCAGGCAACGGGCCCAAATCATCATTCTCTTCAGGTTTTGTCTGCTTTGTTACGTCCATATCCTCCTTTGCTTCTTCAGGCTGACTGTATCCTGGTGCAGGGCAAGGCTGTGAGGAAATTTCACCTGAGACGCCCATACTCTTCTCCTCATGTTCACTTGATTCTACAAGAAAACAGAAAAACCTTAAGATTTCTTTCTTTATATCTTTTTATATAACACGGAAGGTTAACTGTGCCCAGGCCAATATCCAACGCTGGAAAACGCAAGTCCTGGGAGAAAGAAGATGATATAATGTTTATAAAAGTCCATTCTCCCTCCCACCCCCCAATGAACAATAAAATAAAGCAAAACAAAAATCTAAAGCATAAGTAATAAAAACCAAGAGATTCAAGTGCCTGATATACCAAGGAAAGCATGTTTTTCACTGCCCTCTATTGTTCTGAGGGGGTTTGAGGAGGGCATACGCCCTGTAGCTACGCATCACTGGTTTGCCTACAAACCAGAAGAGCTCTGTCTCCGTCTCTGCCAGAGCTCTTTCCAAACCAGCAGTCAGCATGGAAGGGAAGCCAGCCTTTCATCCAGCAGTGCTATTGTCCCACACCTTGTAGCTCTTAAAGTATTACACCCATAATGTCAACACCCTGCTGTTTTACTGCAGCAGACAAAAAGCAGATTCTTTTCAACTTGAGGAAACACACACACCCTCACGGTCATTCTTGTAATCATACCTCATGAAGAAATCAATTTGACCACCATGCAACCTAGCACTGTATATTAACCATATGTGAAGTGGCAGTGACTTCATTTTCATCATAATTTGTGTAACCAGGGTTTAAGTGATTCAGGCCACAGTCAATGACTGCTACCAGCTCCATCCCAGAATCTCATGAGGGAGGATCCTGCCGTTCCCTTGCCTTTTTTTCAAATGTTTGCTCTTTTACTCTTTACAGATTCCTTAAGTTGGCAAGTCAGGTTGTTTCTCTTTGGGGTATCCAACCCATTATTCTACCAACAGTCACTACAGGCAAATTCAGATTTTCTTAAATGGGCAAATGATTTACAATGGAATAAGCCTCCTCAAATACAATGGTAGCTAAATACAAATGCACCTTTGTATTAATATTTCAAAGCATACTGTGAATGGGAAGCACATCTACAATTCCAGGGGACCCAACTATGTAAGTCTTGTGCATACTTGTGACGTTTGTCACAGAGTGACTTCCACAATCACTTAGCCATGGGAGGAAGGCTTACCATCCTGTGGAAGTTGCCAAAAGCAGAACAGACACAGGCTTTGCTCGGCTAATATCTCAAATGCTGTGATCTTTGTTATTTCAGTCGCATGTGACACAAAGCCAGAGTGAGTCTCAGGGATGTTAAATTCCAGCACTTGTTTCCTTGTTCTATAGGGCTCCATTTCTTTTTTCAAAGGCCCCTAAGGGCTGATGTTCAGTTTTCCACGACAGGCCAAAGCAATTGGAGTGACTGTTTTCCATCCAATGCTCTATACCTTGATTTCATATTTTTATATAAGCCTCCATCTAAAAATATCAGGGATGTGGATAAAGCAACTTTATCTATGTTTTTTATTATTATCATAGTGAATTTTCAGGTTGTGTTCATCGCTGAATAAAATACCTTTCATATCTGCATGTATGAAGGAGAGGAATGTACTATCATCATCACACTAAACATGAATTTCAGCACTCTTATAAAAAACATCTCTGATTTGACATTTGAAGGCTGTTGGCTGATGTGTTCTGGGAGTGGTGGGCATAATCAATAGATCAAGAAAAATCTCTGAGAGGCAGGCAGACTTGTCATTGGCTGGCTAACAAAAAAGGGAGCACTTTAGCATAAAGAAACAGACCTGCATCAGCAGTGTTAGTGAGAACTGAGGTTTCTTGGATGATTATGCAAGTTTCCCAACTTTCAAATGGACAAAATTTAGTTATTTAAAAGGCATTTGGTGAGATAGGGTGGGATGAGTTTACAAAGGTAGAATTCAGTGTAGCCAAATTTGTGTGTAGAACCATATCTGCAGTACTTTCGAGAAGTACGTAACATCATAAATAGATCATTACGTGTGATACCAAAAATAATGCAAGTAAAAAGTACTTGTATCACTACTGTCAGTCTTGCTCCAAAGCCAGTCTCCATCACAAAGAGTGATTCAGAAGAACCCAACATGTTGCATTCTTCTGAAAATTTTGCCATGTGCATCACAGAAACTGCTGCGTACTGACTGCTTATGAAAGTCTGCTTATGAAAAAATGTAAATGTCTAAATGAGAACTGTGTTCTTTTGAAAATCTGACCTAAATTGAGTGACCTGTAGCTTGAAGCAAAATATTAAAGCAGTAGAGGCCCCAGAAAAGAAAGTGTTATTCAAATTTGGGATGTAGAATCATAGAATCCTAGAAAAATCAGGATTGGAAGGGACTTTAGGAGGACATCTAGTTCAACCCCCTGTTCAAGGCAGAGCCATCTCCAACTAGATCATTCTAGTGTACACTTTGTCTAGCTGAGTCTTAAAAACCTCCAAGGATAGAGATTCTACAACCTCTCTTGTAGTAAACCCCCCAGTTTTTCTTTTATTTATTTTGAAATGCATTCCCCGCCTTCCCCAACTATTTCTGATTTTTTCTCTCCCTCTCTATTTCCTATAGATAAGTATGAGTAAGCTAAGACATACAATGAGCTAAGACATGGGATAAATTTTAGCATTTTTGTAGCAAGTTTTTTTTCTCTTTTCTTCTTTGAGCCACTGTTTTATATTATATAATTATTGTGTTTATACTGCTTGACTGATTTTTACTGTTTTTTCTATTGATACTATATAATTGAGGCCTACATGTGTAAGTTAGCATAAGTAATGTCAAGTTATGTCAAGTTTCCATTTTGTAAGTCAAGCCTCCATCTTGTGTCCTCTGCCCAGGTGTAACCTATGACTCGTGTCTAGCCAGTCTCATGTAAATTGGTTCCTGAATGAATGGGGATGAATGAGGGTGCTTCAGATACAATGGTAGCAGGCCTCTACTGAATAATGAACTCAACAACTGGATCATCAACTCAGTGACTGGACCACTGCCTTGCATTGACTCACCCAGGAACCATCGACTTCACCCAGGGACAGAACAGAAACCCAGCATTTGAAGGACAAAGACCCTACAGAAATCAGCCAACCCACTATTGCAACACAGACACCTGGAACTGCACATCCCCAGTACACCAGGGCTGACCCTTGCCTGGGCATGTCCCTGCCACTAGAGTCATAGAAGGTCTGCCCCTATAAAAAGGGGTAGTGAAGACAGACCCAGTGGGACACCCTCTCCATCTGGACCAGCACTACGCCATCCACCCAGAGACCCTGCCGGCGACCCCCTCTGGACAACACCTTGCTGGAGAAGACCCTGACTGGCCATCAAGGACGAACTCACAGCCCAGGATAGGTAGCTATCATCCACCTTCC